TGGCTTGTTGTCTCACTCTCTCTCACTCTTTCTGATGAGCACACGTGCCCTAGAGTAAATTTTAAATTAAATGAAATAAATAAATAAATAAATAACATTAAAAATAAAGAAAGTAGGCACTCAACATAACATATATACTGATATGGCAAATGCTAAAAATGAAAAATGCTTATCTACTTACTTGCAGATACAACAAAGATAAACACATTTTCTAATGCTTTCTCCCCTCTATAGGGATTTTACACATATTTAAAAAAAATTTTTTTAAGTTTTCTTTTTAAAGAATTGTTTTATTTATTTTAATTTGACCAGAGAGGGACAGAGTGGAGGGGAAGGGGAGTGAGAAAGCAAGCCTCCAGGTCCAGGATTCGAACCACAGTTGGCCATATAAGAGTCTAGTGCCTTTGACCACCACGCCACCTGCAGGCTCCTTGTTTCATTTCTAAGACACTCGAAGGCTGCATTCCACATCCCGAATGTCTCAGTTAACATTTTGATCTGCAAATCATTCTCTTTTGAATACTTATAACTCACAGTTCTCCTTGCTGGTCATTCCCTCACTTTTTCTTCTTTTTATTTAAATTTTTGCCACTGGGTGCATTCCTTCACTAGAGAGAGAAAAGGAAAATGAGGTATCGCCCCCTAGAGAGGTGGCCATGCCAAAATCCCTTCTCCTCCATTCTTCCCTCAGGATTTGGGCACACATGCACATGTGCTCAGTGTGTTTTTCAAACTGCCAGATCCAGGACTAGAACCACAGAGCCACGGAGTTGACCACGTGGGATCCAGTGCCTGAACCACCATGCCACCTGGTGGTTCTTCTTTATTTACTTTTTTTTTTTTTTTTTGAGAGAGAGATGTTTGCTATAGGGCACATGCATTCACTAGAGAGACGGAAAGCGAGAAGTCACCCCCCGGGGGGATGGCCACACGGCAATCCCTTCTCCTCCATTCTCCTCTCGGGATCTTGGGCACTCATGCACACGTACCCGGCGTGAGTTTAAGCCACCGGGTCCGGGCCTCGAACCACGATCAGCTACATGGGAGTCCAGTGACATAGCCATTACGCCAACTGCTGGTCCCACCATCTTATCTATTGATACTGCTGAAAAGCTGAAATGAAGTTCACCATCATTTCACAGAAGAAGAAACAAAATCAAGGCTTCTATCATTTGCCTACCTGTTGGACAGCTCATAAAGGATAAAAGCAAGGTTTGACGCCCCGTCAAGTGGATTTCAAAGGCTCCGTTCTTTACAGACATTGACTCACAGGATCCCATGGGGTATTAAGGAAACGTTAAAACAACTACAAAGAAGTTGAACTTTGCTCCAAGATCCTACCCTGTTTTCCTAGGCACCTTTTCAAAACTTTTCATAGGGTAGTTCCTTTCAAACAAAAATTTTTTTCTGTAAGAAAAATGATTTTTCACAGGGAATATCAAGTTATGACAAAATGCAACAGTGTCGGGTTTTTTTTTTCATTTTTTTCTAGAAGTTAGGGTTTTTTTAATAATTATTTTAACTTTATTTATTTATAGAGAGAGAAAGAGTGAGAAAGAGAGGGAGAGAGAGAGAGAGAGAATGAGAAAGCAGGCAAAACAGCAGGTCTGGGACTCAAACAGCAGTCAGCCATGTGGGAGTCCAGCGCCCTTAACCACCATGCCACCTGCCAGCCCTGACAGTATCAGTCTTCAATAAGCAGAGTTTTGTAACTCTTATTTCCAAAATCTAATTCCTAGCTAATACGACAGCACTTGCCATTTTACATAGAACAGCATAAAACAGGGCCAACAGGTGGCATGGTTGTTAAGGCCGCTGGATTCCCACAAGGCTGACCACAGTTCAAATCCTAGACCCGGTAGTTTGAAATCACGTATAATGAGTATGCGTGCCCAAAATCCCGAGAGGAAAATGGAGGAGAAGGGACTGAGACAAAGCCATCCTTGGGTGGGAGTCAGGGGGTCAGATTTCTTACTTTCCTTCTCCCTGTCTCTCTCTCTCCCTCTCTCTCCTCTCTGGCAGGCACATGAGCGCTATGGTAAAAACCTTAAAAAGAAAAGGCAAAAAATAAGAATTTTCAATAATATTACCAGCACAAGAAATCAACGCTTTCTGGTGTTTATTCTGCCTGTTCGCTTACCCGTTTTTCTAAGAGCTATCATGTGACTCTGTAAGATACCCAATCTTTTGACACCTTAATTCTAAATTCTCTGTGATGTAAGGGGAATTAGACTACAGAGAACATCAATGTCTCGTGTGGAAAGCGAAGCATTCTGAGTAATTATTCACTGACGTAGTAAACCCAGAGCAGATTAGATGTCTCGAGAGCATCTCAAACTTAACAGGTTCAAATAAAAGAGTTTGGAAGCCGGCAGGTGGCATGATGGTTAAGGGCGCTGGTCTCCTACAGAGCTGACCATGGTTTGAGTCCTGGACCTGGTTTTTGCCATTGGGTGCTTGTGCTCGCTGGAGAGAAACAGAGAGACATTGAGAAACAGAGATATGTGAGAAACCACCCCCCAGGGAAGATGCCACACCACAGTCCCTTTTCCTCCATTCTCCTTTTAGAATTTTGGGCATGCATGCACACGCACCTGGCGTGATTTTCAAGCTGATAGGTCCAGGACTCGAGCTTCGACTGATCCTGTGGGAGTCCAGCACAGTAGCTACTACACCACCTGCTGGCCCCCAGTTGCCATGTTTTGGGGACTCTGACATCACTGCCAGACACGATTTTAATTTGACCAGATAAAGAGAGAAAGAGAGAAGGAAAGTGAGAAAGCAAGCCACCAGGTCCAGGATTCGAACCGTGGATTGCCATGTGGGAGTGTCCAGCACCTTAACCACCATGCCACCTGCTGGTCCCTGGGAGATGATTTCTGACTTTCAGTATCTCTGTCTCTGTCTTTCCGGTGAGCACACGCACCCTATAGCAAAAACCTCTCCAAAAAATAATTTAAAATAAATACATAAATTAATTTACATAAAATTTTTTTTAATAAAAGAGTTTGATTTTCATCAATGGTTTCCAACTCCCACATCTCGAACCCACGCACATCTCTCCATCTGCCAAAACCTTCTGACTTTCAGTATCTCTGTCTCTGTCTTTCCGGTGAGCACACGCACCCTATAGCAAAAACCTCTCCAAAAAATAATTTAAAATAAATACATAAATTAATTTACATAAAATTTTTTTTAATAAAAGAGTTTGATTTTCATCAATGGTTTCCAACTCCCACATCTCGAACCCACGCACATCTCTCCATCTGCCAAAACCACAAACACTGTGTCATCTTCCGCCCAGTCAACTGTAAGTCCAACTCGGTCATCACAGTAGGGAGGCTTTAAAATGCCAATCCCAAAACCAGAAACCCAAGGAGCCTGCAGGAGACATGGAGGTAAAGGTGTTGGGTCCCCATGTGGCTGACTGCACAGTTTGAGTCCGGAGCCAGTGGCTTGAAATCATGCCAGGCATATGTGCATGCATTCCCCAAATCCTAAGAGAATGGAAGAGAAGGAATTGCTGTGTAACCATCCCCCTGGGGGGTGATTTCTCACTTTCCCTTCTATATTCCTTGAGCAAGCACATGCCTCCTATGGCAAAAACCTAAACTATATAAATAAGTAAAAAGTAAACCTGATTATCCCCCCTCCCCCAATACTCAGCTTACTAAATAAAGCCTTCAGAAACTTCTTTTTTAGAAATCAAACCTACCAGGCCTTCAGGACTCTGCACCATCTGTCTGAACTCACTTCTCCAGCCTCATCTGCAACTCTCCTGGCCTCTCCCCAAGCTCCAGGGCTTTCAAAATCCTTGAGACCATCAACCTCCTCCTCACAGCACCTGCTGTCTGCTTAGCCAGGAAAGCGTAGTCGAGAAAGCGTAGTCCTGTCATCCTTTTCAACGTAAAAATCCCTTCCCTAGCCCAATCCAAACACTCCCCTAGTATGCTTTGGTACAACCCACTTGTTTGTTTTTATCTTTACATCACTCTTCAGAATTTGTCGTTTATTTATGGAGCAACCTGTATGTTGTTGTCAATCTCGCCAAGAGCCTGTAAAATTCAGAGTGCAGGAATCCTGCCTCTGTCTTCACACTGGAATGCAGGCATCCAGCACAGTATCTTTTTTTAAATTTTATTTTGATAGATTTTTGCTATAGGGTGCGTGTGTTCTCCAGCGAGATAGGAGAGACAGAAAGCAAGAAATCATACCACCCTCCCAGGGGTGAGGAGGAATGTCCACATTGCAATCCCTTCTCCTTCAGTCTCCTCTTAGGATTTTGGGCACGCACACACATGCACTTGCCACGAGTTTTATGCTGCCGGGTATGGGACTCAAACCCTGGGAGCCCAGCGACATAACCACGACGCCATCTACTGGTCCTGATGTTGATTTCTTATCCAGCTGGCTCAAGACCTCTTACAGATTCCAATATGTTCCTCCGCACCATAAGGATCTCTAATCCTTACACCCTTCCATTGTAATAGACACTATGTAGGCCATTTAACAGATGTGGAAACTGAGGTTGACATGCCAGACTCCAGCACAGGAGGGCTGACTGCCACGCCTGAGCTTTTCCCAGTGCGGCCATCACTGCTTCCTACCATCTTTGTGGTCAACAACCTTCCCACAAGTGCAAGATTTGCTCTGTAAAGCAAAAGTAAACCTAAATGCAAAATCCGCACTCACTAATAGAGGAGTCTCCAAGACAATTTGGGGGAACCTGATGGCTGTGCTACAGGAGGCTCTGGCTGGAACTGACTACCTGGAAAATATCACCATGCCCCCTTTTGATGCACCTGGACACCAAAGTCGTTGGGGAAATAAAAGCTATGCCCGTGACACCAAAGAGTTGCCGGTTTTCAACAACGTTCACGGTTTTCCAACACGCATTTGTGGGCGTGATAAGCCTTTTTCCAGGATCATTTCGTCCCCACCGCACGTCACTTCTCTCTCTTGCAAACGGTCTATTCGATATTAACCATCTACAAACGCACCTTGGCATAAACTCCCTGGCGGGGGAACAGCCATCGATTCTAGGTGACAAAAACCCATCCGAGACAAGGACATACGTTCAAGCTCGAGTACTTTCACGGCGAGGAGCCCCTTAGACGGACTTCCCCAAACCGAATCCAGGAGAACACGCATGTCCAGGTCCCACCCGTGGAGAGAAGCGATTTGTAAACGATAGACAAGATTAAAAGCAGGACTCCGAGGTTTCTTCTCGGCTCTAAGACAGCCTGGCAGAGGTCTCGGGCAAACCCCGGGCGCCGAGGTCGTTCCGGTCTGGAAGCCGCGAACCCACTGGCAGGATGTGGCAGGCCCGGTATCCGGGGTTCCCAAATCCGAGGGGCCGCGACGGGAGGACCAAGAGTTGTGGCTGTCCAAGGCCCGCACGGCTCCGCGCTGCCACTTGCCGTGGTCCG